TCGTGACTTCTAACTGGATTACAGTACCTGTTTCCTGATTTCAGCTACTATAGGTTGTATTCAGTTTTTTTGGCTCTACAGGAACATTGTTCATGGCTTTGTGTGGCCTAACCTGTTGTGCATTGCATGCTATAAAAGTTCAATTATGTCAGAAAATGGAGATTTGGTCTTATGCTGAGCATGTGCTACTGCTGGTGAATGGGATCAGGTTAAGCTTTGTGTTGCTGTTCTTTTGCATAACCTAAAGTGAATAAGGAAGACCAGCTGTTAAACAGTTTCATTCCACTATTTATCCTCCATACAACTAAAAGGGACCTCTCAATGCAGTGCCAAATCAGACAAACCATTTCTAACTTAATATAGGCTTGAGCTGTAGCTGGGCAAAGTTGCACAACAATCTCATCTGTCATTGAGACATTTCTATAAGCATGGGGAGGAGGTGGATGAAAGGAAATGTAAAATATAGGTAGAGTGGTATAGGTTTTATCACTGGCTGATAATGGTCTATATTAATGCCACTGTTGACTGCTGTTCACTTTACATGGTTCAAATGTTATTCTGTTATAGTTTATTAAATATTTTATTACACTATTTGGTTCAGAATATATTTTCCCTGTGTTCCTCCTCTAAAAATTAAGTGCGTCTTAAGGTCCGGTGCGTCTTATGGAGCAAAAAATACGGTACATGGATTTCTTTCATATCAGTTTATCAGTACAGAGGTAGGTCAGGCTGAGATACCGATTAACTGGCTGATGGTTACCTAGTGAGTTTTATTGCTCATTGGATACTTGAAATTGGATCTTCCAACCTTGTCCATCACTAGAACCAGTATACTACGCTGAAGTAATATGTTACTGCTTAGCCATTTAGTTTGCTTTGTGTCTGCTTACCAGTTTGGTAGGAAATTCCCCAAGCAAAGGATCTTTTTGATCATCCTAGCAACTGCCTAGTCATTCATGTTGCATTACTACTTAATTCTCTAAAGGTCTGATGGACCTTTTTTGATGGTTATAGTAGTTTATACCATTTTCTTTCCAAAATACTATGATGCTTATTTTTCTAACTCCTTCTGTTTTATATATTTAGGAGCCCCCAGGACATAGACAGGGCAGGTAGAAGAACAGTTGCTTTGTATTGTGGTACCCATAGAGCATGACTGGTAGGAGGGAAAGTCATACATATGCTGAAAAGCAGCAGCTGTTCTCATCTGTTATATCACTGGAATTTCTTATAATCATTTCTAAATAGTACTCATTCCATTGTTACAGCTCCAACAGATTCTCCAGACTTTTCAACAGCCTCCAAAACCTCAGTCTCCAGTGATAGATAACAATGTGATGGCTCAGGTTCATGCTATAACTTCTCAGCTGCAGACTACAACAACACAACTACCTGAGCAAAAGCATGACTTCCCAGCACCAGAGCAAAAGACATCTTTTGATAAGGTAAAGTTTTTCTTGTGCTTCAGAAGAATTAATTTAATCGCTTATTTTTGACATAGTGCTGAGTTAAATTTATTTTATTCCCCAGTGGATTTGCTCTGTTGGAAATAAGTTGGGCTTTGATTAGTGCTGACTAACAATTCTGTTTATTTCACAAGGTCTATTATAGATGGAACTAAAATTTGATTTCGCTGAATGAAAGCAAACCTCAACAGATCTTTATATTTGCATATTTTGCACGTTTCCCCCTTCATAATTATATGTGGCAGGTTTTTTGTGCAGTTCCTGATTTCAGTTAAGTTTGTTGATTTTGACAAAATAGTTGCCTGTAGTTTGGGAAGGAACACACTTCAAAGAGGGAGGGACTTCTGATTGTGAGGAGAAGAATGTTTCATAATACAGTACCACATCACAAAGTGATACTTTGGCTGACCCAAGTTATGGAGAAATATTCCTAGTGCATTGTATGTAACACACTGGTACTTTCTTGTAAAAAAGGTAAAGGTAAAGGTAAAGGTTCCCCTTGACAATTTTTCTCCAGTCGTCTTCGACTCTAGGGGGCGGTGCTCATCCCTGTTTCCAAGCCATAGAGCCAGCGTTTTGTCTGAAGACAATCTTCCGTGGTCACATGGCCAGTGCGACTTAGACACGGAACGTTGTTACCTTCCCACCGAGGTGGTCCCTATTGATCTACTTGCATTTGCATGCTTTCGAACCGCTAGGTTGGCGGGAGCTGGGACAAGCGACGGGAGCTCACTCCGTTGCATGGATTCGATCTTACGATTGCTTGGTCTTCTGACTCTGCAGCACAGGCTTCTGCGGTTTAGCCCACAGCACCACCACGTCCCTACTTTCTTGTAAAGAACCTCAATATACCTCATAATTTAATTTCTATGAAGCAAATAGTTGCTGGCGCAGCAATCAGAGAAGCAAAATCCATAGATGCAAATCTGTGGGTCTGATGTAAAAATCATGTGGCTCCCTAAAACAGACCTCTTATTGATTTAGTTTTATGACCAAGTGCTTACTATACTAAATGTTATCTATGCATACAGCTGCCATTGTGCTGTCCTCTGTGTTAAGCACAATCTGTTTGTTTTTCATGTTTGAGAAGAGTCCGGAATGGTGTAGCTCTGGCAGTAGAATACAAATGTTCAGCCATACTCTTTCTTCTGGTTTTACTGGGTTGATCTCTAGCACCTGGACGGCTGGAAGGGAGACACACAGGCAGTGTCTCTGCTTACCTACATGTATTCTTAGTCCCTTTGGTACAGTTTTTTACTCAATCCAGTACAGTGGCAGCTGTACATGCGTTATTTTATAAGATATGGTGCAAACAATGCGTAATGGCAAATATTTGTTGTGAGAACATGCAGAACGAATCTTATATCATCACTGATATAAATATGTTACTTGTCGAATAATCATTATGGAAGAAAATAGAGTTGTCTCAATGTAATGTGTTTCAGAAGCTGTTGGATCGGTTTGACTACGATGATGAACCAGAAGCAATGGAAGACTCAAAGAAAGAGGAATCAACACCTTCTCCTTCAGTTTCTCAACCAACATTGTAAGATTTGTGATAGACAAGTAGATGTTAAAATTAGTGATGCCATTATAGAAGTCTAAAGTTATATAGATGACTCAATTTATTGTTAAGACTCTTCAAAATCTTCTCTCTTGCAATAGTTCAGTATGAATCTTGCTGTAAGTTGGATATTTATAGCTTCTTAGCCATATATAGGACAGAATACTTACCCCATTAGTTAACATTGTGTAATAAATCATCAAGAAGATAGCTCTCTGGCCTTACCATAGCTCATGATCTAAGGTTTGACAAATAATAGCAAGAAAGAAAATGAATATCAAGGTTTGAATGAAGATGGGAAGCATATACACGGAGTTTAAACATTGTACTTATGAGGAGAGGAGGAACCAATAACAGCAGTCTGCATTTTACTGTACTTAACTGTACTAAAAATTCCACTCTTAAAATGCCACTGAAAAATCATTTTTATCGCCTAGTGGATTTCCGGGTGAAGGCATACAGCAACCAGTATATCCCCAGCTCCCAAATATAGATCAATTTCCGCAGCGAATGCTAGGAATGCAGCAGGATCCTATGCTGCACCAGGTATTGGAAACAACTTTTAATATCTTTCTTTTTCAATATGACAGAAAAATTGTTAGACTTAACAGTTTGCCTATCTTTGTTCTTTTTCAAGGTCCCCCTTCCTCCAAATGGGCAAATGCCAAATTATGGACTTCTGCCTGCAGCCCAGTTTCCTCCCATCACTCAACCTGTGATACAGCCTTCACCTCAGGTGCAGCAGTCTTTCCAACCTTCTTTTCCAGCACAAAGTGAACAACATATACAGAAAACACATCAACAGGTAAGCAGTTCCTAATATTACAGTAGTTGACCAGAATCTTGTTGCATATATACACATGTGTAACTTGAAGTTGTGGAAGTGGTTGTGAAATTCACACAAAGGCAGAAGTCAGATCCAGCAATCGGTTCCACAAGGCCAGTTGCACAACTGGTTGCTTAGTCAGATGTGCAGACTGCATGGGTGCAATTATAACATATACAGGTATGAGCACTGCTGAATCAGGCCAAGGGCACATCTAGCCCATCATCCTGGCCCACCAGATGCCTCTGGGAGCACACGAGACGACTAGATACCTGTCTCCTGATACCCCTTCCCTGCATCTAGCATTTTGATGTACCTTCCTTTTAGGCATGGAGATTATACATCCCCATCATAGCTTGTAACCTGCAATGGACTTTTCCTCCAGAAATCTGTCCAATTCTCTTTTACAGGCATCTAGACCAGATGCCATCACCACATCCTGTGGTAAGGAGTTCCACAGACTAACAACACACTGGGTAAAGAAATATTTTCTTTTGTCTGTTGTCACTCCCAATACTCAGTTTGAGTGGATGTCCCTCGTTCTGTTATTGCGTGAGAAGGAAAAGAGCTTTCCTCTATCCACTTTATCCACCCCTTGCATAATTTTATACGTCTCAGTTGTGTACCCCGCTGACTTTTCTCTAGACTAAATTCTATGTGAATTTCCAGTAATGCAGTAATATTTCAGCCATTTATTTTAAACTTCATTCTATATGTTGCTTCCACAGACAGAGACTGCAGGTGCCATTCACAAAAGTTCCTTAGTGCATGCTTTTGTCAACACTTAAAAAAATAGCACTAGTTAATCTGAATGTGTTTGTCAAATTGAGCTTCTGTATAGGTTAGAATGACTATTTTATCTTGTTTTTTGCTGAATGTGATTGGGTAGAAACTGGTGAGTCACAGACAACAGATCTGCTTAGAAATGCAATATTTTAGTCACTTAAAGGAAGTTGCACAAGTATATTTAACTGAAATTATATATAGACTAATAACTGAAATGCGAGAGTTTAGACTAAGATTTACTACTAAGGATAGTAGGTAAACTGTCTAAAATATATTTTCGTAAAGTTTTACTAATAATACAGAGATGCAAAAATTGAACATATGAGGCTTACATGTAGGTGCATATTGAGTTGTAATGTAAACAGCAGTGGTGTAAAAACTGCTTATCAAATATTGAAGTTGAAGCTAATAAAAAAATGAATAAGAATACTGATGCTTTTTTTTTAAGGAAATGGAGGTGGATCAGCCTCCTGTTCAGGAAGGAAGGAGGCATGAGAACAGAAAGTCGAGGTCTAGATCTGCTTCAAGGTACGAAATACAAATAATCTGTTGTTATTTAGTCATTAAGCCGTGTCCAACTCTTCGTGACCAGAGCACGCCAGGCCCTCCTGTCTTCCACTGGCTCCCAGAGTTGGAGCACCATAATTCAAAAGCATCAATTCTTCGGTGGTCAGCCTTCTTTATGGTCCAGCTCTCACTTCCATACGTCACTACTGGAAAAACCACAGCTTTGACTATGTGGTATCATCTGCATATCTGAGGTTATTGATATTTCTTCTGGCAGTCTTAATTCCACCTTGGGATTCATCCAGTCCTGCCTTTCACATGATGCATATAAGTTAAATAAGCAGGAGACAATATACAGCCTTGTTGTACTCCTTTCCCAATTTTGAAGCAATCAGTTGTTCCATATCCAGTTCTAACTGTTGCTTCCTGTCTCACATATAGATTTCTCAAGAGATAGATAAGGTGGTCAGGCACTCCCATTTCTTTTAAGAACTTGCGATAGTTTGCTGTGGTCCACACAGTCAAAGGCTTTTGCGTAGTCAGTGAAGCAGAAGTAGACGTTTTTCTGGAACTCTCTGGCATTCTGCGTAATCTAGCGCATGTTAGCAATTTGGTCTCTAGTTCCTCTGCCCCTTCGAAATCCAGTTTGTACTTTTGGGAGTTCTGTGTCCACATACTGCTGAAGTCTACCTTGGAGCATTGGTAGTTGGTGCATAAACTTGGATTACTGTGATGTTGAAAGGTCTGCCTTGGATTCGTATTGAAATCATTCTATCATTTTTGAGATTGTATCCCAGTATAGCTTTTCCCACTCTTTTGTTGACTATCAGGGCTACTCCATTTCTTCTACTGGATTTTTGCCCACAATAGTAGATATGATAATAGTCTGAATTGAATTCGCCCATTCCCATCCATTTTAGTTCACTGACACCCAGGATGTCAATGTTCATTTTTGCTATCTCCTGTTTGACCACATCCAGCTTCCCAAGGTTCATAGATCTTACATTCCAGGTTCCTATGCA